CTTCTGGCATGTCTGGTGACTACTAAACTGGCTAGAAATTCACAACAAATTTTATTGTCACAACCCTGCAAGGTTTATGTGACAAGGGGATGCCCAGCCCCAGTCACCCTGTCAGCTTCATAGCCAAGTGGGGGATCTGCAGCTGGGCATCCCAGGCTCTAGTCCAACTCTCTAGTCTCTATGCCACACTATGCAGGTGAGCCTCACAAGGCTGCTTGTGGGCTGCTGCGGAATATCAAGTGTGAATTGCTTTAAATGTGCTAAAGCGCAGCTTATAATCAAGAGCCATGTCGTCAAAGTCCTGGTTATGACCTATAAAGCCCTACAGGACTTCTTCATAGGAATGATGGCCACCAGCCTAGATGGTTTTAAAAGACTAATTCATGGAGGACAGGGCTATTGACAGCTACTGCCCACAATTGGCCAAGCTGTGCCTCCACAATCAGAGACTTCTGAATACCCATTGCTGGAAGCCACAGGAGGAGAGAGGGCTCTTGATGGTTTCCCATAAATGGGCATCTGGTTGGCCACGGTGAGAACAGGATGCTAGGCGGTGGAGCAGAGGCGTCAAATTGCAAGGGAGTTTGGGGGGCCGGCCAATGCCGCACATGATTTTGCAGTGTTGTGCGTGCAACGTCAGGATATCGGGAGGAGCCAGGGAGTGGAACCGAACGTGGCGGCAGCATGGCTTCAATTGCCACTGGTTCCTCCTCTTCCTGCCACTGCTGCCACTACCAGCCCAGGGTGATGTGGCATGCTTGGCTCCACACTTGACTGGGGGCTGCTTCCCACCTCCTTGCCCTCTGTGGCAGGAGGAGGAGGAGCCAGTCACTGAAGCCACACCATGCTTCCTCTGCCACCCCGAATTTTTTAGACATTGCAGGCAGCTGGGTCCCTCCCAAAAAATATTTGAAGGGGGGCAAAAGGGCTGGGCCACTAGGATTTGGCACCCCTGGGGGGCATTGGCCTGATCCAGCAGGGCATCCCAATCAAGCAGTGAAGGACCACCCCCCTACCCCCCAGCTTAAGCAAGAAGCCTCCTTGATTTCATGTTTAAGAAATTCAAGATAACGTTTAATTTGCTGTCAGATCTGAGTGCAGAATCAATGTAACATTATACGGCTGTTCCATCAAACATTTCCAAGCTAGGGCTAAATTAAAACTGGGGAGGTAAATGAAGCCCCGCTTCCCCCCCCCCCAGCTCTAATTAGTCACAGATGCCCCTCAGATACTGGTGTGGTGGATTTATATATATGCACAGATATCCCTGTTTTGCCTTGGAAAGAAATAATGTTCTTTCTGCTTCTTTATCGCTGCTGATCTGTCTCTTTCCATCCTCCCTCCAATCCACCTTGATTTATTTCCACATTTTTGTGATCAGTCTCTCTCTGCCTCTCAGCTAGCTGCTTGAGCGCCCACAGTGGCTCAGGCACCCTATGCACATACCACACATGGGGGCAGGGCAGGGCACACTGGCAGAATCCTACCACCCAAGCCACTGTGTTCCGCTCACGTGCCCTGCAGGCCCATGTTGCTTTTTGGAGCAGCTGTAGCCTGCAGGGGGTCCGCCTGCCGCCTCCCCATCAGCTGGAGACCCCCACCCTGCTTTTTCGGCTATGTGGCAGGGGCCTGAGCCAGCACGTCATGCCCAGGAAAGACACTGTGGCTCAGGCGTACTGCGGGCCCAGCGCTGCTCACAGGGCCAGCGCATGCCTGTTGCATCCTTCTCAGCTGCCCTCTGGTGGCAGGGGGTAGGGTTGCAGCAGCTCAGCGCCCTGCAAGCACAGCCCTGGGGCCGCACTGCTTTGGGGAGTGGCGCACCATGCTCTGGGGTGCCACCCCCAAGGTAAGTGCCACCCAGTGCACCCCGCCTTCCCCACCCCCAACCCAAGCTATGCAACTGCTCTCTCTATCTCTCCCCCACCCCCCACACCTGAACCATCCTTTTTCAAAACAGGCATTTGGGGGAAGCAGGGGAACTGAGGGCCACTAATTACCGGCTTCTAACAGCAGCCCAGATCAACCGCCCTTCAACTGGGCATTCGATCCCCACAAAAGCAGAGACTGATTTCTAGCTGCTGAAATCAATCCCTCCTTTACTTTTACTTTTAATCATCTCAAAGAAGAATTACATGTTTTACCATCAGGGAGAAAAATTATTTCCTGTTTTTACCTCAAAGAAATATCTTATTTTAACAGCCCCCTTCACTTGTTAAGAGATGGAAACTTGGGAGGGGTAAAAGGCCTGGAACTCAGTCTTTTTCACTCCTCAAATAGCAAACACAGAAAAGGAAAAAGGAAAATGATGGATGGAATATGTTGTGACTTGGCAGGAGGGGACCCATTTCTTATTCTCCTGCCTGCCCAGTTACTCCCCCCACTGCCAATGTTATATCAGAGGTCAAGGAAATAAAGAACTACACAACTTTTAGAAGACAGCTGAAGGCAGGATTTCTTTTAGTGTTTGACGTTTTACTATGTTTTTATAGTATACTATAATATAGTATAATATATAGTATACTACGTTATACTATGTTTTTATACGCACTGTAAGCCGCGCAGAGGAGCAGAGTATAAATGCTCTACCACTGAGCTACAGCCAGTGGCGTAGCGTGGGGGTGCAGGGGGGGCCGGCTGCACCAGGCGCAACATCTGGGGGGGTGCGCTCGCACTCGCAGTGCTAAAATCCACGGGTTAGGGGGCACAAATCACTTCCCTTGCCCCGGGTGCTGACAACCCACGCTACGCCACTGGCTACAGCCAGTCCTCAAGCATAACCTTAGGAACACAGGCAGTCAGACAGCTGGTGCATCTAGCTCAGTATTGTCTACACTGGCTGGCAGTGGCTCCCCAGATTTCAGTAGGGGGTCTCTCCCTGCCCCACCTGAACATAACGGGGACTGAACCTGGGACCTTCTGCATGCAGAACTGGTATTCTGCCACTGAGCTAAAACCATACACAGCCCTAGGCATTGTTAATGGGACAACTACCACTTGCTTTTTTCTGGGGGTATTCATCAGCATCAGCAGCATCATTTATTATTTGTACCCTGCCGATCTGACTGGGTTGCCCCAGACACTCTGGGTGGCTTTCAGCATATATAAAAACAAAGTAAAACCTTAAACCTTAAAAAGCTTCCCTATACAGGGATGCCCTTCAGATGTTTCCTAAATGTTATATAATTACTCATCTCCTTGACATCTGATTGGAGGGTGTTCCACAGGCATAGCTGTCAACTTTTCCCTTTTTTTAAGGGAAATTCCCTTATTCCAAATAGGATTCCTCACAAGAAAAGGGAAAAGTTGACAGCTATGTCCACAGGGCAGGCGCCACTACCAAGAAGGCCCTCTGCCTGGTTCCCTGTAACCTCACTTCTTCCAGGGAGGGAACCGCCAGAAGGCCCTTGGATCTGGACCTCAGTATCCAGGCAGAATGATGGGGGTGGAGATGCTCCTACAGGTATACTGAGCCGAGGCTGTTTGGCTTTAAAGGTCAGCACCAACACTTTGAATTGCCCTTGGAAACTTACTGGGAGGAGTAGGGAAACACCATCAGACATCATAACTGTGCAATGGTGATTTCAGCTGAAAACAGGTTTTAGAGAATGCGGGTGACACTGTGGGTTAAACCACAGAGCCTAGGACTTGCCGATCAGAAGGTCGGCGGTTTGAATCCCCGCGATGGGGTGAGCTCCTGTTGCTCGGTCCCTGCTCCTGCCCACCTAGCAGTTCGAAAGCACATCAAAGTGCAAGTAGATAAATAGGTACCGCTCTGGCGGGAAGGTAAACGGCGTTTCCATGCGCTGCTCCGGTTCACCAGAAGCGGCTTAGTCATGCTGGCCACATGACCCGGAAGCTGTACGCCGGCTCCCTCAGCCAATAAAGCGAGATGAGTGCCGCAACCGCAGAGTCGGCCATGACAGGACCTAATGGTCAGGGGTCGCTTTACCTTTACCTTTAATTCCTTCCAGTTTCCACCTAGTGGCATTTAGTGACCTGGTTTACCAGATCATAGGAAGCTGCCTTCTGACTATATAGACCATCTATATCAGGAGACACCAGAGAATAAGTCTGGAGACATGTGCTCTGCCACTCTGCTATGACCATTCCTCTAAAAATAAAGTAAGATTTTAGGCCCCACAGTTCCAAAGAGGAACATAGTAAGTTGCCTTATACCAAACTGGATAAATCATCGAGCAGATGCTCAAGAAAGACTGGACATAGTCTAACTTCTGAAAAGCTGTGTCTAAGCAAACCCAGGATGAAAGCTGAAGACACAGGTTAAGGACATAAGAAAAACCTGGCTGCTGGATCAGGCCAGAGGGGGCTATCTAGTCCAGCATCCTGTTCTCACAGTGGCCACCCAGATGCCACAAGCAGAAGCCCCCAAGCAGTACCCTCTCCACTCCTGCGGTTTCCATCAAGTAGGATTCAGAAGCAATATTGCTTATCCACTGTGAATAGCCTCATCTTCCACGACACTCCGCCTAGTGGTGGGCTGCCCCTGATTACAGCCTCCAAACGTGGAGGCAGAGCATGGCAATTGTGACTAGTACAGTGGTACCTCAGGTTAAGTACTTAATTCGTTCCAGAGGTCCGTACTTAACCTGAAACTGTTCTTAACCTGAAGCACCACTTTAGCTAATGGAGCCTCCCGCTGCTGCTGCTGCGCCGCCGGAGCACAATTTTTGTTCTCATCCTGAAGCAAAGTTCTTAACCTGAAGCACTATTTCTGGGTTAGTGGAGTCTGAAACCTGAAGCGTATGTAACCTGAGGTACCACTGTAGTTTGTTTCCTGGAAAAGCCCTGAAAACAGCTTGCTTCTAAAAACAGGGGTGCTGTAAGCATATCTGAATTATTTTAGAGTCACACCTTCTCAGAGGGTACTCTGTGCCTAGTGGGTAATGAATTAATTTACTCAATTACTGTTTGGAGGAGGAGGAGGAGGAGGAGAGGAAGAGGAGGAAGAAGGAGGAGGAGGAAGAAGAAGAAGAAGCTTGGTGGTGTTTCCTTTTCTTTTTTTCGAAATGTGTGCAAGTTGTAGCTATTCTCTAATAATTACAACCAGGCCCACTGGGAAATTAAGCCTTCTGTTAGGTGTTCTAATGTTTAATAGGATATTTTCATCTCACAGCGGATCTGGTTGCAATTATTGCAGAATAGCTGCAACTGAAATTGTGTTTTTAGCAGCATATGCAATCTGGAGAAGGTGGCTCAGGGCGGAGCGAAAGGGATGTGCTGTGCTGGCATGTTGTGTTTAGATACTAAGGGGGAAATAATAAATGGATAAAGCCCAAGCTGGTTGCAATGCAAACTGAGGAGCAAAGGACGTCATTAGCATCATTCAACACTTTGTAAAGCTCTAGCATTTTCTAAATACTGTCCTGTATGTTGAAAGATGAAACCGTTCCTGCCTTCAGGCTAAAATTCTAACAGGCACAACACAAAAGGAAATACAAACGGGGAGGAAAGAGGAAAACAAATGTTAGAGCAGTACCTCTTTCACTGTATTGATGAAATCCTTGATTTTGGCAGGTGTTCATGTACTTTTAAACTACATCCCTGTAGTATGGAGATCAATGGCAAGATAACAGAATTGATTATTTAATTTCTATACAGCTTAATATATTAAATCTATATCTAAGGAGTACGCAGAAAACTGAAGCAACAACAAACAATTTAAACAAAGTATTACAAAATTTTTTAAAAAAAAAAATCCCCTTCATGGATCACTGCCTTGCCGTGGCGAAGGGGCTTGAAGAACTCAGAGAAGCTATGAACTACGCCGAGCAGGGCACACAAGATGAACAGGTCATAGTGGAGAGTTTTGACCAAATGTGATCCACCTGGAGGAGGAACCGGCAAGCCACTCCAGTATCCTTGCTAAGAAAACTCCATGGACAAAGACAACAGGCATATAAAAGTTATGACAGAGGTGCCTGGCGTGCTCTGGTCCATGAGGTCACGAAGAGTCGGACACGACTAAACGACTAAACAACAACAACAACAACAATTACAAAATTACGCACTAACATATGAAAATGTTACATTAATACAAAGTTACTAATACAGTGGTACCTCAGGTTAAGAACTTAATTCGTTCCGGAGGTCCGTTCTTAACCTGAAACTGTTCTTAACCTGAAGCACCACTTTAGCTAATGGGGCCTCCTGCTGCCGCTGCGCCACCACTGCATGATTTCTGTTCTCATCCTAAAGCAAAGTTCTTAACCCGAGGTAATATTTCTGGGTTAGCGGAGTCTGTAACCTGAAGCATCTGTAACCAGAGGTACCACTGTATATATAAATCAATATCAATTCATTTTTCTTCTGATACACCTTCCCTCTCAGGCTCCAGGTTCTCACCCAGAGTCCAAACAAACTCTCAGATCACCTACAAACATCTCACAATGAGAAGAGTTCCTGGAAACAGCGGACATCACCCTAGACCAGGCACCCCCAAACTCAGCCCTCCAGATGTTTTCGGACTACAGTTCCCATCACCCCTGACCACTGGTCCTGTTAGCTAGGGATGATAGGAGTTGTAGTCCCAAAACATCTGGTGGGCCAAGTTTGGGGATGCCTGCCCTAGGCTCTCACTCTAGATTTGCTTTTGGGGGCATCCCTGGGTAGACGGTGCTTCCTCAGGCTGCCCACAGCTGTGTCCCATTCAGCTGCATTCTCCACAGCCAATTCCAGGTACAGCAGGTTTGCTGAGTTTTCCAGGGGGTCCAGGGGATTGGGGAAGGGCCCCTCCCTCTACTCACAGCTCTTTCTTCACCCTCTGGCCTTACCTCCTCCTCCAGCTGGTGGTTCATGGCAGGTAGTGGCTGTAGAAGCTCAGGCTCAATGACCTGGGTGTGCACTGAGAGACAGCCAATATGGTCTTTGTGAGCTCTGGAGACTTACATTTCGAGAGTGGAAGGATAAACACCCACCATGTGTTACATTATGGCCTGAGGACCTCATGGCCCTGTCCACCATCCCCACCAGAGCCTGAAATATCACACCTGGATACTCTAACATTTTGCAACTGAAAGCAGGGATTATCATTTACCAGGTCTCAAGTGTTGAGGTGAAACAATATGGAGGTTTAATGCAACCCACAAGCCCCAGTCAATGGGAGCCCCTTCAGTTTTAGTCAAATCATGTCCCCCTGCCCAGAGCCAAGGAGGAAGTCAAAGGATGAAACCAAAGGATGTGCCCAGGGCTGGATTTAGGTCTGATGAGACTCTAAGCTACTGAAGGTAATGGGGCCCTTTATATGTCCAGCTGTTTTTTGTGCTGAATATATGCTATGTGGTAATTTAGGAACCTAATAGGTATCTAAAGCCATTTGCACATAACAAAATATGTATTTTGTCAAAGTAATTGTTGCAGTTATCTTATATTTTGGAAATGTACATCCAGTTTTTTTCTTTAAATTTTTTTGGGGCCCCCAAGAGAGTGGGGTGCTAAGCTACAGCATGTTTAGCTTTTACGTAAATCTGGCACTGGATGTGCCTCCCTTTGACCTCCTTGTTAGCCAAGCACCAGAATTTTGTTTGGACCGCTTCTTGTTTGCAACACAGATCAAAACACCTTAAATAAAAGATAAGTAAAAAAAAAAAACCCATGGAAATTTTCACAATCTAGAAAACACAATTAATGGCTAAACAGAGCATTCTCCCGGGAATAAAAATAAATAGTACACATAAAAACCAGCTCCAGAAATATGAAGGAAACCCCACATTTAACCCCCACCCACATACAAATAACCTGTTGGTAAAGTTGCTACCTCTTAGAACATCAAAAGAGCCCTGCTGGGTCCATCTAGTCGATGGTCCATCTAGTCACAGAATCACATAATTGTAGAGTTGGAGGGGACACCAAGTGTCATCTAGTCCAACCCTCTGCCATGCAGGAATCTTTTGCCCAATGGGAGGCTTGAACCCACAACCCTGAGATTAACAGTATTATGCTCTGTCAAGTGAGCTAAGTCCAGCATCCTATTCTCACAGCAGCCAATCAGATGCATTAATAGGAAATCCCCAAGCAACCTTAATCCTAATCCTAAACCTAACCCCTTCGCTTTTCAACACCAGTATTTTGATGCTCCCATCCCAAACACAATGACAGAGCCTAATTTAGTGGTATATAAAAGTCTTAAAGAGATAAATAAATGACTTAACTAATCAAAGCGATTCAACACCTAAAATTACTCTAACGTCCATCATTCTTAGGTCAGTGACTGGCCCAACATGATCCAGTAAGCATCATGGCTGAGTGGAGAGATCTTAAGCCTGGTCCCTCAGATCCGAGTGCACATGTAACCACCACAACAACCCTGTGAGGTAGGTTAGGCTGTGATTAATTAAGGTCACCCAGGGAGCTCACGGCCAAGAGGGGATTCAAATGAATACATGCCAATGTAGACACCAGTGGATGCATTTTTGGGCACTGCAAAATTGGGAGAAGTACAAATTTCAAAAGATGGTGGTGTTTTGGTTTGCATATGTGTGGGTTACAAGTAGATTTGCCATTAAACACAAACTGAATCCAGTTTCTCCCCCATTCCAACTTCCTTGCAAACCTACTTCAGTAGCATTCCAGATCCTTTGGATCTTCTTTGAAGACCCTTCCTAGATCTCAGTAGGGAAATGAATCAGGAATAATCATCAGTAATTTAAACATCTCAAGGGGAAACTCCAGCCAAACAAACCAAGAAGGAGCAGAGAGACGCTTGTGTCGATTTGCAAATGCGATTCTCCACCCGCCCCCCTCTTCTGAAGACAGAGTTGAGACTTTAATTTCCTGCTGAGACCTGCCTCGTGGAAAGAACGGAGCATAGAAGAAGATCCTATTGTAGGAGAGTTGGATATCCTCCTCTAGAGACATCTTCCAAGGTGCCTTGATCAAACTGGGAGGGAAGTGGAAGAACCTTTCCATTCCCTGCTCTGCGAACATAAAGACCCTGTAAAAGTCCACTTTTCTGGGTGTTTACAAGGTCTCTGTTCCCTCTCTTTTCCAGAAGGGCTCCTTTTCAATTTCTTTACGAGTTCCAGCTTCCTTCGCTCCCAACAGAGATGAAAAGTGGTCATTGATTTCATGAGCAAAAAACCCGCAAGTTGAATGAGTGCTCCCTTCCCTCACCACCACTATCGCCACCATAAGCAAACTCCAGGAATGAGCATCAGCTCTGTCCTTTATCTTCTGGCGAGAGAAGCATTTGTGCAACTGATCCAGTGGGCATCTCTTAATGCAAGTATAAGGATGGCTTGAAAAAGCACAATTCATAATTACATACAGACATTCCCTCCTCCTCTCTCTCTCTCACCACACACACACACACACACACACAAATCCAAGCTGTGTGTTATGGTATGGAAACCACTTCTGTGCCTCCATACCACGTCCTTTGAAGATGGCTACTCCTGGTCTGGAATGTTATTGTGGTTTTTCCAGCAAAGTGACAATGGAAAATAGCATTTTATAAATAATAATGTTTTGTTTGCTTTTGGTTTGTTTGTTTTTTTTTAAAAAAAAAACTTCAACAACTCATTCTGGGATTACAAATCCAAAGCGTTCTTCCTATAAGAATTAAGCACCGGGGTTTTATTTTCCTGGGCCAATTTTCACTGAAAGTGCAAGATCTATTAAAAGATTGTGGGGAGGGGGAGTCTCCACCTTCTCATTTCTAATGGAGCCGTGTCTGAAACCCAACTGTCTGAAATCCGCTTAGATTTAAATCGAGGCAGACGCCGTACGTGGTTCTGCAAAAATGCTGGGGGGGGTCCCCTCTGCTTTGTGGGGGGGGTCCCCTCTGCTTTGTGGGGGGGGGGAATGTCCAGTGTGATGGTGCACAGGAAAGCAGGTTTGACAAATGGAAAGATGCAGTAATTCAGAGCAAATTGACACGGACACCTCCTGTTTATGCATACAGAAACACAAAAATGATTATCAGATTGCCATTCAATTAAATCAGTGGTTCCCAAACTTTTTTTCCAACCATCCCCCACAAGACACATTCCATACACTCTTTTGAGGTGCCATTTCCCATCTATGAGCTGTTGCTTTAAAAAAAAAAGGATTTACATTAAAAATGATTCAAAAACCAACAAAGTAAGCATATTAATTTTGTACTGATTCATCCAGAGGACTTTTTCTCATCAGTTAACAGAAACATCAATGAAGTGAAATGATTCATCAGCTGTTTGCTGAGGTCTTGTCTCCACACACACACACACACACACACAGGTTCTTGACTGCACTGCAATCTTGGTGAGTAAACATGGATGCAAAATCTAGACCAGTGGTTTTCAAAGTGTGTGGTGCTGCCCCCCTGTGGGGATTCCCTGGGGCCACTAGGAGGCAAGAGGGTGACAGGGGGCATTGGAGCTGGGTCCCTCCAAGTATTGAATATGTACTGTATTTATGATTAACCAGGCTGGAGCCTTGAGCAAAACACTTTCTTCACTTCATGTTTAAAGCTTTACTGCTCTTAACCGCTTTCAAAGTGATTTCCTTTGGTCATGTGTGTATTTGTGATACTGAATTGCCACAAGATAGCTGACTATTGGTAACAG